CTAAGGTTGTAGATCATTTCCTCTCAGGATAGAACGAATTACACGTTGGTGTAGCGGTACTTCAAACCCCAGTGTTTCCGCGAACACAAAGATCAGTAGCAAATCACACTTACCGTTGCTTTCTTAGTAGTTAAAACAATGCAGAAAAGAGGAGGAGAAGTCAGAAACTCGTATGAAAAATCTGAGAGAATGGATTGCAATTTATAGCCCCAACCTGTTGAGTTCAAATTAAGAGTTGTAACTCTTCAGAGGTCAGTTACGTAAAACGGTCATTACGTAAATGGTCATTTACGCAAATTAAAACGGGCAGAGGAAACGTTTTCTGTTACAAAAAACGGATGGGCAGAGTCAATGAAACAGATAAGAATTATTAATTTTCCGTTACAAACACGGATAATATTACGTTAAATGAAACTCATGTTAGTATTTCAATTGGCTATTAAGTTCTTCTAATAAATTAGTTAACTCCACTTTAATTCTTTCTTTTTCGTTTTCATGTGTATGATTGTATGTCAAACTAGTAGGTATATTACCTTATTAAATATATTAAAGCAATAAACATTTGACGTTTTTTAAGATTGACATAAAAAGATGTAAAACAATGTAATTATTTTTATTTAACCTAATATTCATTTGATTGGCGATACAACTAAAGTTGAGAAATAAGGCACAGGCAATCGGTTTAAACCAATTTTATCTATCCCTTCGAATCAAAATAGAGTAGAGATTATAATAAAACGAGCAAGTTATGCTAAAATAATTGTAAAGAAGAATGGAAGAGATTCTTATAAAGGAATTTTCTTAGAGCTGATGAACAACAGTAATAACGGAAGAGATAAATAAATCTATATATAAATTAAAGGAATAAAGTTACCAAATATAATTAGCATTGTGGTTAAGCTAAGCGGCAAGCTAATAAATACTAATAATATATGGTAACTTTATTCTATATTTGATTACGTTAGTAAAATACAAATATATATATATATATATATATATATATAATTAAATTTGAATTAAAAGATAATTTTGAATTTTTTATATAAAGTTTTAAAATCTATATATATATTAAAGGAATAAAGTTACCAGATATAATTAGCATTGTGGTTAAGCCAAGTGGCAAGCTAATAAATGCTAATAATATATGGTAACTTTATTCTATATTTGATTATGTTAGTCAAATACAAATATATATATATATAATTGAATTTGAATTAAAAGATAATTTTGAATTTTATATATAAAGTTTTAAAATTTGAATTAAAATAAAAATAAATAAAAAATTATCTTTTGTTATCATGTTATCATGCTTAATTCAGTTAATAATCATATGCAATCATGTTAAGAACTTTTGTTAATTTTTTATAATTATTTAAATATGACTTTGCCTCGGGCAAAAAAGAAAAACAAATCTCCATATAATTCTAAACTCTTTCACATCTAAAACCCTATAATTATAGTTCTTTAAAATACTATAGCTGGATTTGAATAAAGCAGGTTTCTTTTAAAATAAATATAATATATAGGGTACATGTCTATGTTTATTCAAATAACAAAAAAGAGTTTAAAAATCAAATAAAAGTTTACTTACATATATAATGAAGTAAAGCTACATGGTATACTCATAACTTGCTGCATTGTCTCAGGGGACGTCAACTGACGAATAAATTCAGGGTTTTGCATCATTTCTCTAAGATGGTATAAATAGTACTATTTTTGTCTCTCGACGCACGTTAGATGAGATAACTACGCCACCACCGGAAATGGGAGGAAGAGGGAGGCCAAGGAAAAATCAGTCCAAATTGTTAGTAATTGATCGCGGAATCAAGGAAGGTAACTCAAAGGAACAAGGAAAACAACATGCAAAGGGAAAAATGCAGGAAGAGGAACTAGATCATGACAGTGATTGTGAGCTAAATTGGCCACATCTAAGCTACAGTTGTGTTAATTCAGATACCCCAGTGAATCCCGCTAATCAACGGATGCCCGGGATGAATGTAACACCAGTTGTCATTGGAGATGCAAGCACTAGCAGAGCAAAACCCAATGAAACAGTAAAAACAGTATGGTAAAGGAGCAAGGCAATGGAACAATGAATATACGAGCTGAGGAAGACAGGCAGAACCAGACAAAACCAACCAATTTGGGAAGGTCGTGGGCTGGATTATTGCAAGACAACAAATTAGCTGCAAAAGGAATGGATCTAACATATCGGTGATACAAGAAGGTGAAGTAGTAGTACAGATCCTGGAAGAAGATATAGCTGAGGAGAAGCAGAAATTGAACCGAGCTCTAATAATGTATGTAGTTGGAAATACTCCAACTATAGGAGCCACTGAACGATTTGTTGTTGCTCAATGGGGAAAAGTCATAAAACCTAAGGTATTATGTCATAATGATGGATATTTCACAATTTTATTGAATAGTGTTGAAGAAAGAGATGAAGTGTTGATGAATGGGCCTTATACTATGAACAGTAGACCTATAATACTAAAAGCTTGGGCTGAGGGATTTGACTTTAATGAAGAGGTTTTGAAAACTATTCCGCTATGGGTTAAATTTCCAAAACTCCCACTGAACTACCGGAGTAATAAGGCGCTTAGCAAAATTGGAAGTGGACTAGGGAAGCCTTTGTATGCTGATGCTTGCACAACTGTGGCTGATAGGATCTCATATGCTCGGATCCTTATAAAAATGGATATAACTAGAACACTACCTAGGACAATTAAGCTGGTTGACCCTAATGACAAAGTGATTGAGCAATTGGTACAGTATGACTGGAAACCCCAGTACTATCAAACTTGCTGTCAAATTGGTCATTCATGCCACAACAAGGAAGTTCAGAAGCAAGAGATGGGGCAGCAAATATATGGTATGCAGAATCAAGGAAAGATATGGAAAGTTGTAAGAAATCTAGATCCCAAGACTGATAAAATTGATACAAGAGGCAGATTCCTGGAGCAATTGGAAGAAGTCAGTGATGGGATACAAAGTAACAATTTAAAGGAAGAACAATGGCAATTGGAAAAAGGTAAATCTGCTACAAAGAAGAATGGAGATGGAAGTTAACACTGGCAATGCTTTCACAACTTTGGTAGATACTGCACAAAGGCTAGTCCAAATGACAAGGGAACAAGGCAAAGATAGGGAACTTCCTAGGGATAGAGGCAGAGGGGGTAACAATAATCAAAGAAATTTATAATGATGAACATCATAGTGTGGAATGTTAGAGGTATGAATAAGGTGTATAAGCAAAAGGAACTAAAACATTTTATTAGGGAGAATAAGGTAGTGCTTATAGCAGTTTTGGAGAATAGAGTTAAAGAAACAAAGGCAGAAGGTATCATAAAGAAGATCTTCAATAACTGGAGATGGATAGCAAATTATTCACAGGCTCCAGGTGGTAGAATATGGATTGCTTGGGATCAAACAAGGGTAGACTTTGAAGGGTATGAAATGCACCAACAATACATAATAGGGGAAGTCATAGAGAGGCAAAATGGCAATAAATTCAAATTTGGTGCTGTCTACGGTATGCATAAAATACAAGATAGGAAAAGACTATGGGATGATATGAAAAAAGCAATGGTTGGTGCTATTGATCCTTGTGTGCTAATGGGAGACTACAACACCATCTTGACTAATGAAGATAGGGCTCAAGGGACACCAGTATAGGAATTTGAAGTGAAAGACTTCAAAGATTTCATCGGGAGGAATGGACTAAATGAATTAAAGACAGTAGGAAGGAAGTATACGTGGACTAACAACCATGTTCACAACAAAATTGATAGAATTCTTGTTAATGCTGCCTGGATTCAAAAATGGCATGTAATGGAAGGAAGAACATTGCAACCTGGGTTCTCAGATCATTGTCCATTAAGTCTAACAATGGACTTTGAGCAACAGAATGGTGGGAGACCTTTCAAGTTCTTTAACTGTATGGCACAACATAAAGGATTTGAGGATGCTGTGTATGAATGCTGGAGAAAAAGAGAAGAAGGAAAAACAATAACTAGAGTATGAAGGAAACTCAAGGTGATAAAGAGCAAATTGAAGCAGATGAATAGACAAGAATTTAACAATATTGTGCAAATAATCCAAGAAGCAATACTAAAGTTGGAGGGGATTCAGAAGCAAAGGGATGGAACTGGATACAGTACAGAAGGTATAACATTAGAAAAAGAAGCAATGAAAGAGCTAGCTAAATGGATTGAAATTGAGGAAAGCATTATGAGGCAAAAGTCAAGGATCAAATGGCTCAACTTGGGAGATGCAAACACAGCATATTTCCAAGCTTGCATTAAGAGTAGACAAGCCACTAACCATATAGGTTGTTTGTTTAATAATGCAGGTCAGTTACTAAATACAGCTACAATTGTGGAAGAGGAGATTCTAAAATTTTACAAAAATCTGCTGGGAACAGCAGCAATACAATTGCCAGCAGTAAACTCAGAAGTAATGAAGCAGGGGAACAACCTGAATAGACAGCAACAATTGAATCTGATAAGAGAAGTAACTGAAGAGGAGGTTAAACAAGCACTTCAGAGTATTGATGACAACAAAGCTCCAGGTTGTGATGGATACAGTGCTTTCTTCTACAAGAAAGCATGACATATAATAGGCAAGGAGGTGACTCAAGTAGTATTGGAATTCTTTGACAATCCAGAAATGTGTAAGCAAATCAACTGTACTACTATAACTCTGATCCCAAAAGGGAAGAATTCCAACAATATTAAAGAATTTAGACTATATCATGTTGCACTGTTCTGTACAAGATCATATCCAAAATCTTAACAAACAGATTGCAGGAAGTCTTGCCAAAGGTGATAGATAATTGTCAAGAAGCCTTTGTACCAGGAAGAGTGATCACGGACAATATTATAATGAGCCATGAATTGATCAAAGGATATAGAAGAAAGAATACGTCACCCAGATGTATGCTAAAGATAGACATGTAGAAGGCCTATGATTCAGTAGAATGGATTTATGTGGAACAAGTAATGAGGCTGATGGGATTTCCAGAAAAATATGTAAATTGGGCGATGGCAAATATAAGCACAATATCTTACTCAATAATTGTAAATGGGAAGCCAATCAAGCCATTTGAAGCAAAGAGATGGCTAAGGCAGGAAGATCCACTTGCACCACTGCTTTTTATCATAGCAATGGAGTACTTGTGTCGATTACTCAAGCAGCTAGGAAACAACAAAAACTTCAAGTTCCATCCAAGGTGTGCTAAACTGAATCTCATACAGTTAGGATTTGCTGATGACCTACTGCTATTCTGCAAGGGAGAGGAGAAATCTGTGGTGGAAATTCATAATCAGTTTCAAAGATTCTCCAAAGCTTCTGGACTAGTAGCAAACACAAGCAAGAGCAGTGTATACTTTGGTGGAGTTAACAACAGGGTGCAGCAAAGAATTCTGTAAATACTAGGATATACTAAAGGTGAACTACCCTTTAGATATCTTGGTGTCTCATTGAGTACAAAGAAACTGTCAATAATCCAATGTGAGCCCTTGATTGACAAGATGTTGAGTAGAGTGCAATGCTGGACAGCTAAGTTATTATCTTATGCAGGGAGAGCAACATTGATCAAAAGCGTATTGGGAACACTTCATAACTACTGGGCACAAGTCTTCATACTACCAAAGAAGATTATACAATTTATTGAGACAATATGCAGGAGATTTCTATGGACTAGGAATGTTGAACCAACAAGAAAAGCACTGATTGCTTGGGACAAACTCTATGTACCTAAATCAGCAGGGGGACTAAACTTCATCAACATAGAGATATGGAATAAAGCAGCTATTTGTAAGTTGTTATGGAACATATGTAAAAAGAAGGAGAAAATGTGGGTGCAATGGGTCCATACGTATTATATAAAAGGGAACAGTACTTGTGACACAGAGCCTAGGAATGCATCCTGGGTAATACAGAAGTTCTTCAAAGCAAAGGCGCAATTCCAAGAGGCAGGATATTCAGAAGAAGATGTGAAGCAACTAGATAGTTTCTCCACCAAACAGATGTACAAAAGACTACAAGGGGGCTTCCAAAAGGTGCCATGGAGAGGGCTAGTAAGCAATAACAAGGGGATGCCTAAATGGATTTTCATCCTAAGGTTGGCAATCCTAGATAGACTAGCTACCAAGGAAAGACTTGCTAGATGGGGCTTAATGGATGAAACAGTAGGTTCACTATGTCAGCGGAGCAATGAAACAGTTCAACATCTCTTCTTTGAATGTGATGTAGCATGGGAAATATGGTAGAAACCGTTACAGTGGCAAGGGATCGTGAGAATGAAAAAACAATGGCATGAAGAAGTACAATGGGCAGTGGAGAAAGCAGCAGGAAAGAGTGCTGGAGCAGAGTTATACAGAATTACTTTGGCTGCAGTTGTTTATCATGTCTGGCAAGCTAGGAATAAGAGTATATTTCAAAAGGAAAAAGTCAATTTTGTGAGTATAGTGAAAGTGATAGTGCAGGAGATTCATATACGAGCTCAAAGTTGTAAAAAGCTGGATACCTACCTAAGTAATATGAACTGGTACCCAGTATAATCTAGAAAGGAATACGGTTGGTTAGGGGGTAATGTAGTATCCTTACATTGGGGCATCATGTCCAACAAAGGAGAGTAGAGAAGTTTAGTCTCTGGGTATATATTGTAAATATTTACTTGGTAATAAAAGCATTTAATTACCAAAAAAAAAAATGCTACATGGTATAGAAAGAAACATCACAATAATGTGTTAATACTCAAAAAAAAAGTTATTTTTCTTTCTTTTTTTGAAGAATGTTTGTTTGAAGAGTCAAATTGTATAAATGGACATAAAAAAAATAACAAAATATTGGTTATACAATTGCTATCATTACTTTTAATTTAGCATCTTTTAGGAATAAAAGGGTATAAATTGAAACCTTTTCATTTAGCTGCAGTCAAGCCAACATTGCAAGGGTATAATATTTTTTTCGTTGAATAATATTAGTTTTGAATAATTAAATTATGTGAAAGGTTTCTCGAATTTCAACAAGAGGAATATTGGTTTCTAATTGGTAGTTTCTGTATTGATTTTCAAGTATAACAAAAAGTATATTTTGAAAATAAATGGTATGACGCCAAATATTTTTTTTTTAAATGTAAAAAAATTATTTCAAAATGTGATTATTTTTTAAAATATAATGTAATTTTAAAAATAAAAGGATAAGATATTTTTGAATTTTAGTAGGGAATTTTAAAATTATTATAATAGAAGTCATATCATGGATGAAATCAAGTAACCAAAATCTTATGGAATATTTAGATAGATATCCGACCAGATTTATCGTTGATCTTTTATAGCTGATATACATAGATGATAGTGACGATACATGATTATACACGTATTATATATGGATTATATCTAAATTACACATTCTTTAATTTTTTAATTTAAGTGGTTAGGTGAGCACATATTTAGGTTGATTAGATAAAGCCAAAAGAAAAATATGAAATAATTTTAATCAAGGATTAAAAATATAAATAAATTTCATATGTAGACAATTTCTATTAAAAATCATCCTTTTATCGCGAAATAAATTAATTTTTTTTGTTACAAAAGAAAGAAAGACATAAAAAATAAGATAAAAGAAAATAAATATAGAAAAAATATATGGAAAATCTATTACTAACAAACTGATATGATATTCGAATCTGAATTTAGATGCAATTTGAGTAGTTTGCATTGATGTTAAGCCATGTATAGTGTCGAGAAAAAATTACTTGATAATTTTAAGAGAATATGTGTAATGTAATATAATTACAATCAACTAATTTAACATTTAATGATTCAAAGAATTATATATATATATATATATATAGGGTATTCAAAATTTGAAATCTGTGGCTAGAGATATCAATAAACCAAAATAGAGCCATACTGAAATAAAGTTTCGCTGGTTAAAAAATTATTTAAATTTTTAGATAGTCTATTAAAGTGGATTTTAAATTAAGGATGATATCTTCACTTGCATCATTATAAAGTTAATCATTATTGAAAGATAACAACATACCAAAATAAAATTAGAATTTCAAAATAAAATATTTTTTGAAAGATAACAACATACCAAAGAAGAGTTCAAGTCATAGTAAAAGAGTCATGTCGTAACCAAAAAGTCGTTCATATTGTGTCAGCCTTTGTGCTTTACCATAAATACGAGTTATTATTTCGCTTCGTGACTATTTTTAGGTTCTAATGACTCCAATAAGAATGGTGCAAAAAAAAAATCACTACGAGATTTGAAAAGATATTAGTTTTTTTTTCATGTAGTATTTCTTAATTAATATCTAACGATTATCTATAATTATATAGAAGGTTTAAATTTTAAGGTTATTTATATATAATTCAAATAACTCAAATGTTTAATATGGTTAGTGCCAAATATCAAAATGGAGTCATGCTGGAAAAAATAAATTCACTGGCTAAAGAATTATTTAAATTTTTAGATACCCAACTAAACTGAGTTTTTGAATTAAGGATAATATTTTTACTGCCATTATTATAAACATAATTATTATAGAAAAATAAAATTTTAGAAACTTAAATTTTAAAATAGAAATATTTTTTGAAAGATATCAACACAACAAATAAGAGTTCAAGTACTAATACAAGAGTCAAGCCGTATCCAAAGAATCCTTCATAGTCTCAACCTTTGATTGTTTTGGCATAGATATGAGTTATTATTTTGCTTCCTGACTATTTTCAGGATCCAATAACACCCTGAGAATGATACCAAAAAAGTAAATAGAATATAACTAGGAAATTTGAGAAATGGTTAATCCTTTTCATGTAGTGTTTCTTAATTTATATCCAATAATTATTTATATTTATCAAGAAAGTTTAAATTCTAAGACTATTGACACATAATTCAAATAAATAAATATTTGACATGATTAGTGTCCGCGCATCCGCACGAATGCTAATACTAGTTTTCTATAATATCGAGTGAAAGAGTAAAAGTCCAAATGAGATTTAATTGTGGGAAGAAGGGTGTTTACAGGATAAGATAATCAAAACTGGCCCTTATGTCTCTTACACACGTTTTATGGATTAACTGCAGTAAATACAAATATCGTTTGTTACACTTAGCTGAGTGTAAATGCTAGACGTGGTTAATAAAGAATCCCAAATATATCAAGATCTGATGGTTCCGGGAATGTATCTACTTGGATCCCAAATATATCAAGATCAGATCAGATCAAAGGCGATCTGATCTGGATCGCCTTTGACTGAAGAAAATAAAAGGATTCTGGGACCGGCTTCTTGGTCTTGAGTCATCGAACAAGTAAATCCGGAAGACTTGGCACTAACTAGAAAACTAAAAAGAAATACTTGCCACGAGTTGACTTTCGACTCGGCCACGTGTCGTGTGCACTTTTTACCAATTCAGTTGCCAAAAAATGAGCTAAAAATTTTATAGTAATTTACAGTAATTAAATTGGACCCCCTTTCCCATCCTATTTAAAGTCTTTTATCTTTATCTTCCTCATTTTAGCATAAAATTTAAGTTAATGTATTAACCCTTCTCATAAGAGACTAAGTGTCTCAATTTACTTCAAAACCACTTCGGACTCAAATCAACTAGACCGATAAGCCAAAATACAGCTGTAAAACATAAATGAAACAGAAAATGGGGGAACGGGATTACAACTCTCGAAACGACCGGTCGGGTCGTTACATCAATTGACTCTCTTTATTCTTGTTAGGTGCTTGTGACAGTGACACCGAGTTTTAGGTATTCTTAGACAATTGTGGTCGTGTTTAGAACATGTCTCTGATATCTACATTTATGATATTGATTTGGAGACTTATTTCACATTATTATCTTTATTATATCTCTGTTACTGGCTTAAAATAGATTATATTATTGTTGTTTAGTGTTGTCTTGCTTAGCAAATAGGTTAGATGTCATTACGATCTTTGGTAGAATTTTGGATCATGACAATTTCGCTTTCTTATTTATATATTATGACTCTGTTGATGACTTAGTAATCTGCTTTTATAATTATTATTGAGTATTGAATTGCCTAGCAAGCAAGTTAGACATCATCAACGATCTTTGGTGGATTTTCAGGTGACATTCTATCTACGTAGGGCCTGCTATTTGGTCTAGTGGTTGCACCTATGAAGGCTTAATGCACATGTGTGAATGTTTGACGTGTTTAATGGATATTAAATTGTTATACCTGTTATGGTTTTATTATAGATATATGCGTTGCATTATTCACTATCATGCACGTGATTTTAAAGATTCTCTCCAAAAGGTATGATAGGGGTGGACATCCTTGATCCTAGTACAAGGTCTTGTTTCAGTTTCGGCAGTGAGCCAACCATCAACCATATTATATTCGTGGTAGTTGTTCATTTCATTTACGTATGTTCTATTTTCAGGGTTGTGTCGATGATTATTATAATTAGAGTTTACTTAGATATTATTTAGCGGGTTATGGTTTGGTTTCAAATTTTCTATCGTACTTAGACTTTCAATGTGCTTGAGAGGTTGTGCCTTTTGTCTATGATGTGGTACTATTTTTGGATTATGAGCTCGTGGTATGGTAATAATTGGAAACGGTACTCTTAAGGGTAGTGGCTCACTAGGTGCTAGCACGACTTATGAATTTGGATTGTAACAATATATACGCTTAAGGGTAGTGGCTCACTAGGTGCTAGCACGACTTATGAATTTGGATTGTAACAATATATACGCTTAAGGGTAGTGGCTCACTAGGTGCTAGCACGACTTATGAATTTGGATTGTAACAATATATACGCTTAAGGGTAGTGGCTCACTAGGTGCTAGCACGACTTATGAATTTGGATTGTAACAATATATACGCTTAAGGGTAGTGGCTCACTAGGTGCTAGCACGACTTATGAATTTGGATTGTAACAATATATACGCTTAAGGGTAGTGGCTCACTAGGTGCTAGCACGACTTATGAATTTGGATTGTAACAATATATACGCTTAAGGGTAGTGGCTCACTAGGTGCTAGCACGACTTATGAATTTGGATTGTAACAATATATACGCTTAAGGGTAGTGGCTCACTAGGTGCTAGCACGACTTATGAATTTGGATTGTGACAATATACTCTGAAGCATATATACATAAAATAGTTAAATTTCATATTGAAAAATTAGTAAAAATTTTCTTTACTATCAACTCTTTGAAATATTGTATATTTCATTGTTCGTATCTTCTAAAGTGGATATAAATTTGAATTAAAATTCTTAAAATCAATAGAGAAAGCGATCAACTTTTCAAATAGTCAACATGATAGTTTGAGAATTTCCCAAGGAATGTGATTTGCCTTGAAGGTCACATAAAGTTGTATTTAAATTTATTTTCTCATTATTTCTACGTTTCATTTTAGAGGGATTTCTAAAACATCCCCACCATGAAATATAAATTTCTACATTGAAAGTTGAAATAGAAGGTCGCATTCCATAAAGTCGAAGAATAAAGGGCAGCCCGGTGCACTAAGCTCCCGCTATGCTATGCGCGGGGTCTGGGGAAAAGCCA